GGGGGTGGGGAGAGGGGCGGGAGGGGGTGGGGCCCTGGCACTGGGGCCTCTGCAGGGTGTGTGCTGATGAGGGGCTACAGGTGGGGTGGGCCTTCACCACCTGGGCAGAGGCCCTGGACTCCTGTGTCTTCTGCTCACGTGACATTGCTCTGTTCATGTGATCAGGGGTTGGTGATGGGGCCGGAGCCTCAGCCCCCCTTTCTGGAAATGGGGTGAGGTTCAATGAGGGGTAATATGGAAAGATAAGGGGGGGACCGGGTCCCAGGGCAGGAGCGGGCATGCTGGCTGCCTTGTGGAGTGCAGCGGCTGCCTTCTGGGGTGCCCGGAACCAACATCCCTCCTGCCCCACCCCCACCACATTGCAGTCATGGCCTGGGGGAGGGTGGGATGCACTTCAGTTCAGTTCGGTCATGTCCGACTCTTTGCGACCCTAGGACTATAGCACTCCAGATCTCCCTGTCCATCACCAACTCCCGGAGCTTACTCAAGCTCATGTCCATTTAGTCGGTGATGCCATCCAACCATCTCATCCTCTGTCGTCCCCTTCTCCTCCCGCCTTCAATCTGTCCCAGCATCAGGGTCTTTTCCAATGAGTCAGCTCTTCGCATCAGGTGGCCAAAGTGTTGTGGAGTTTCAGCTTCAACATCAGTCCTTCCAGTGAACACCCAGGACTGATTTCCTTTGGGATGGACTGGTTGGATCTCCTTGCAGTCCCAGGGACTCTCAAGAGTCTTCTCCAACACCACAGTTCAAAGGCATCAATTCTTCGGCGCTCAGTGTTTTTCATAGTCCGACTCTCACATCCATACATGACCACTGGAAGAGCTGTAGCCTTGACTAGACAGATGCACTTGAACATGCTTTATCTCTCCCAGCGGCTGCTCACAGCTCCTCCCACGCAGTCCAGTTCCTTGGAAAAATCCCAGGTCGAGCCCATAATTTCTCAGGCACTTTTAAGAATTAGAACCCAATTGGTTCCTTGCCATCAAAGGTCACCCTCTGATTCGACTCAGAGCTCCCTGACCCAGATAGATCTGAGGGGACACTGGGCTTCACCCCACTCTCGCCCCAAGTCCCAGCTGGGGCTCAGAGGCCCCCAGCACGTCCTTAGTCTCAGGCACCCTGTCAGTGACAGGGGCGGGCCTTGAACCCGTGACCAGGTCTGGCAGAGGAGAGGGCACTTGAAATAAGGAAACTGGAAGATTCTAGAAGGTCACACTGGGGAAGGGGCCCAGGCCCATCCTGCTGCTGTGATGGCAGAGCCAGGTCCAGGTTGCAAGAGTGAGTAGGCAGTGGGCTTTGGTCATGTTCCAGGTGACCTCTACCCCAGTGACCTCTGCCCTGGGCTGTGGGGGCGCACTGCCTCAAGGACAGCGGGAGCTCATTGACAGCAGTTGTCAACTGGATTCCTCACCCAAGGTCCCACTGTCACTGGCAAAGTGGTGGGAACCCATGCTGAGCTCCAGATGTTTCTAGAGAAGGATGATTGCCATCTCCATGACAACGGTCCTTGCCACTTGCTCTGGCCTCCGTGTTCACGGCTCACTGTTAACGAGACTGCACCTCGAATTCAGGGGGGATCAGTGAGGGGCACGTCCCCCAGCAGCTGCAGGTGGCACACTGGCCTGAGCCTCAGACCCTGCCCTGGGGGAGGGTGCGCTACTGACGCGGCCGGAGGCAGAAAGAAGACGTGAATCTCCCCAGGGCTTCCTCTCAGCAGTAGCAGGGGTAACTACAGTGTACACACGCGCTTATTCGTCTATCAAATGCATCTTCCAACCCACGAGCCTCTGTTACTCCTCTTCACCCCCTGACAACCGAGTGAGGCTGGTTCCTTTATCGTCTCCATGAAGTGCGTCCGTGTTTTAGCGGGCACAGAGAGGTGAAGTGACTTGGTCACTGTCACACAGCTTGGGGGGGCAGCCTGGTTCCAAGGACCGTGTTTCCAGCCACTGCCAGTGGTCTGCCTCCTCCCGGGTCTGTCTGGCACGGTCCAGGAGGCCCCTTTGCTTTGCCCACTTGGGGAGACCCAAACCGAGGCTCCAAGCAGACTTTCTTGACTTGGGCACTGTTGACATTTGGGGCCGGATGATTCATTGTTGCAGGGATGACCTGTGCCCTGGAGGGTGTGCAGAGCATCCCTGGCCTCCAGGCTTCGGGAGCACCCCTCCCCACCCAGCTGGGATGGTCAGAACTGGCTCTAGACGTTGCCAAAAGCCCTGGGGAGCAAAACGGCCCTGGTTAAGACTGGCACAGTCTGTGTGTATGCCAGGGTCACCTACTAGGTGAGGGCCCAGGGTGGCTTGATCAGGGATGGGCATGGCTGGAGGGGCAGAGCGCGGGGCCACCAGGAGCCCAGAGCAGGCTGTGGACCGAGGGTGGGAGGGCATCAGTCACCTGGGGACCAAGGCACTGCCAGGGGCCAGGCTCCACCCTGGGCTGCGACCCAGACCCAGAGGGCAGGGGGAGGTCAGAGTGTCTGGCGTCCGAGATGTGGCACAGAAGGAGCTCAGAGGCCAGGCTGGAGGGCCTCCTGGAAGGTGCATTCTGGCAGGCGAGCGCTTGGAGGTCAGGCGTTGGGGCCCTCCGCCTCTATGTCTCTGCGCCTTTCCTTAGGGGCACGGTTAGGGTAAGAGTCCACCCACCAACAGAGGACGGCAGAGGGGCCGCCAGAGCTCCTGCCGTCACGGCACCCTGCCGCCCAGGGACCCTCCCTCTGGGGACAGCCCCCAGTGCAAAGGGCCCCTGTCCAGGTCCACATCTGCTTGCCGAGGCCTGGAAGCCCATCTCCGGAAGGCAGGGCCTCCATCTGTTCTTCCCGGTATCTCTGGCTCGGGGCCTAAGCTGTGTGCAGTCAGCGCTCAATGCATGCAGGAATGAGCTTCAGGGTTTGTTTTCCACATGGTCACATCGGTTGTCGTGTAATAGCGTCCTCCTTCAACGCTGGACGGTCCCCTCTGTCCCACCCGCTGTCCCTGCCCACGTGGCTCCTGCCTGACGTCCCAGCGCGGCGGGCCCCCCTCCCCAGCCCCACGCCCCTCGCCCCTCGCCCGGAAGGATGACGTCTGTGCTCCGTTCTTTCTTCCAGGCTGCGGGGGCTGCGGAGCCGAGATCAAGAACGGCCAGTCCCTGGTGGCCTTGGACAAACACTGGCACCTGGGCTGTTTCAAGTGCAAGACCTGTGGCAAACAGCTGAATGCGGAGTACATCAGCAAGTGAGTGGGCGGGGCCGGCCCCCCTCCGGCCTGGAAGGGGCGGGGCTCCCCGGTGTGCACCCTAATCAGCAAGTGAGTGGGCGGGGCCGGCCCAACTGCGGTGCGGAACGGGGCGGGGCTCCTCCGGTGTCCACCCTGCACTCTCTGCCTCTCAGCCCCCACCCCACGTCAGCAAGGCGAGCCCCGCCAGGACGCCAGGACGTGGCCTGTCTGGCCCAAAGCGCTCGCCCTCCCCCGCCTCCAGCCTGGCTTCCCTGATGCAGACACGTTCACTTCCGTTTGTTGAGCCGAGGCGTTAGCGCTCTGCCTTTGACCTTGTGGCGCTCCTCCCAGCGCCGTCCCTGGGGGTCGCCCTCCCTATGGAATCTGCCGCCCTCGCTGGCTCCGGGATGCCCGGAGCACGTCGTGGGGGTCAGCCGAGGCTGCAGTCAGGGACGGCTGACGGGCTCGGGAGCCCCAGGTGCAGCTGTCCTCTGCCGTGGTGCTCCCGCGGGGTCCCTGACGGGTGCTCAGGGTACAGGGCTTGCTGGTTTGGGGTGCGTGGGGAGGGAGCTTGTGCAGATCGGGGCTGAGCCCCTGCTGGTTGGCCAGGAGGGGGCTGCGTTCGAATCCCCAGAGACCCTGGGGACGAGAGCCTCCCGACGGCACAGGGGAAGGAAGGGTCGTGGACTGAGCTCGCGGAGCAGCGCCTGTGAGGGCAGAGCGACTGTCTCCTGCCAGTCAGGGGCGTTTGGGACAACTTCTATCAAAGGCTCTGCTGCTTCTTGATGCTCTGGGGGAACAGAACCATCACAGGATTTGATTGGGTTAAAAAAAAATTTCTGCAATAAAACTGCAGAGACTGAAGCACACATATGTACACGCGTGCACGTGTCCATGAGAGGTGTGTGTACGCCGGGGGAAGGGGAATCCGGTCACTGCGTGTACCCTCATCAGTTTCCTGGTGGACCTTGTCCCCTAATTCTGTAAGGTGTGTGAGCTTTGGGGAACTCTGGGGAAGGCTCTCTGGGTTTCTCTGTACCGCTTCTTACAAATGCGTTTGGACCCACGGTTATCTCAAAATCAAGCGTTGCCAGGGAAACCAAGATGAGTCTCTGTCCAGGCTGGGTCAGGCTGGGTGAGTTTCTGCTGCCTGTTTCATAGTAAGGAGGAGTGAGTGACACGCAGAGGCAGCCTTGGGGACGGAGCTCTTAAAATAAATTGCTTCCCAGCCCCCTGAGTGCAGCAGCTCACCCACACAGTGTGCGTGGTACTTAGCAGCCTCCGGAACTCTCGAGGAGGGGCCTCGGGGTTGCCATGGAGATGTTATCTTTGAACCTCCTGGGTTTGCTGCATGCGCAACCTTTTTGGGGGGCCGTGACTGGGGCCCTGAGGTCAGGCCATTTGAAGGTGGACCCTAGGGGCCCAATTGACGTGTTCCATCGCCTGTGCAAGGAAGGACTGCTTTCTCACTGGGACTGCAAGAAGCACCAGGACCCCGCCCCAGGTCCGTCCACTCCTGCCAGCATCCGTGGGACCCAGACAAGGTCCCGAGTTTGAGGAAAAGAGGGTGCCATCAGCTCCTTCTCCTGACAGCTCGAGAAGCCTTACCTTCTGTTGGCAGCTGAGCAGAAATCAAGACCAAAGTGATGACACAGCAACACATCAGCAGTGCTGGGGGGAGACGGACCAGATGTCCCCATCACTACCCTCCGTGCCAGCCGCCTCCACATCCGACTCCTGATGGACCAGGCCTGGGCCAGGGGCACCATCCTGGTTGGCAATGACAGTGGCCTCAGTCACCGGTGGGCTAGGCGCCGAGTGCCAGGCACTGGTCACCCCTTGTCATACACAGACCATGCTCTTACGACCCCCGCTTCACAGACAGGAAGCTGAGGCCCAGGCAGGTTAAGTGACCACTGGGACTGGGCATCTGAGTGCCAGCCTATCCAGTCACCACTGCCCAGCCCCACCCACCCCCACCCACATGGAGCGCTGGCACTGTCCTGACACCCATCACTGCCACGTGCCCCGCTGGGTCGACCTCATCGTGATAATTACAACCACACGCTGTTCAGGCCCGTGCCTGCATTCCCATCCTTCGACACCCGCAGGCCAGCTGTGTTCTTGCCGCCCGGTGCAGGGAGCCCAGCGTCTGAGCGGCCCGCCCACAGCTGCCCTGATCAATACTCAGGAGCAGCGCTCAGCAGGACTCCCCTCTCGTCTGTAATCCCCAAAGCCACAAGCCACGCCCCACACAGAGTTGGCCCGCCGCGCTCGGGCAGCGTGAACGCGTTGCCGTGTGGTCCCCCAGCTTCTTCCCAAGCATCAGAAGGTCCGGGCCACGCCCGGGGACAGTGAGGGTCAGTCCTAAGGCCTACCTGCCCCGCTTGGATCTTGTCAGCCCCAGTCCTGGTCTACGACGTGGGCAGCTTTGTCAGACCCCCTTGTCGGCTTGTAAAGATGCCCCAGAAGGAACAGGAAGCCACCCAATGAGGAAATAGACCATTTCACACCCCACCCGGATGTTGAGCGTTGGAAAGAACGAACTGGAATGAAGAATCGCGTCTGCGGAAACTTCTTTTATTTCCCAGACGCGGCTTTGGTTCCTTGGGCTCCCTGGAGCCCTCCGCCAGCCCTTTGCTCACCCCTGGGCAGGCGGCCCCAGCTCTTGTACCTTGGTTCCTCCACCTGTGAAATGGGACGATCTTTGTGGTGTTTCTCGTCGGGCTGCTAGGGTGACTGAGGGGTGCTCAGCTCACGCTGTCCAAGGGCCCACTGTTATCCCGAGTAGGAGGCAGTGGGCGTCTGCCCCTTGGACACAGCCCCTCTCGTTGGTGAGGACTGTCGGGCCTTGGGGTCCTCGGGGTGCCCCCGCCCATCCTGACTGCTGGCTCTGTTGCAGGGATGGGCTGCCCTACTGCGAGGCCGACTATCACACCAAGTTCGGGATCCGCTGCGACGGCTGTGAGAAGTACATCACGGGACACGTGCTGGAGGTGAGGAGGCCAGCTTGGAGGCGGGGCCGCCCCGCAGTTTCCGCCACCCTGAGCACAGCACTTGCCGCTCTGAGCTAAGTCCTGCCGTGGGCCCTGGCACCTGCCTGCCCCGGAAGGACTTAACCGAGAGCATCCGAAAGGGCCTTTGTGCAGGAATCCATGCCCCTAAGCCTCTGCCTCCCTCTCCCTCCCAGCTCCGCCAGAGGACTCGCTCCAGGCTCTGCTCAGTGAGTGCTGCCTCCTCCAGCAAGCCTCCCCTGCCACCGTCTCTCAGCTCTGCCCTTTACAAGTTGACAGAGGTGGGAAGGACTTGTGGTCCGGGTTCAGCCCTTTGGCCTCTAGATGGGAATCTGAGGCTTGTGGGTTTTAAAAGTGCGCCTGTACACCTTAGCTGTTTCTCCCCCACACCCTGAGCCCATGGCAGCGCCGGTCTACTTGTGGTCTGTATAGAGTTTCCAGTTCTGGGCGTTTGCTATAGATGGAGTTGTACGCCCTGCTGTCCTCTGTGACGGCGTCTGTCTCACGGGCACCGTGTCTCATCACAGGACTAGACCGGAAATGTGTAAGCTGATCACTCGTTGTTGGACACAGCACTGCTTTCCACCCTTTGGACATGATAAATAACACTGAGATGAACGTCTTTTTTATTGCCTGATTTCTAGTTTTCCTGAAGGTTAGTTCACGGACGTGTAGAGACTGAGTCAGCAGCTGTGATCGAGTCTCTCAGCTCTGCCCTTTACAAGTTGACAGAGGTGGGAAGGACTTGTGGTCCGGGTTCAGCCCTTTGGCCTCTAGATGGGAATCTGAGGCTTGGGGGTTTTAAAAGCGCGCCTGTACACCTTAGCTGTTTCTCCCCCACACCCTGAGCCCATGGCAGCGCTGGTCTACTTGTGGTCTCTGTAGAGTTTCCAGTTCTGGGCGTTTGCTATAGATGGAGTTGTATGCCTTGCTGTCCTCTGTGACGGCGTCTGTCTCACGGGCACCGTGTCTCATCACAGGACTAGACCGGAAATGTGTAAGCTGATCACTCATTGTTGGACACAGCACTGCTTTCCACCCTTTGGACATGATAAACAACACTGAGATGAACGTCTTTTTTATTGCCTGATTTCTAGTTTTCCTGAAGGTTAGTTCACGGACGTGTAGAGACTGAGTCAGCAGCTGTGATCGTTTTCAGGTTCTTGAAAGTTATAAGGTGCTTTCCAAAAAGTTTATTCTGAGCTCCCACCCTGGGTGTAATCTTTATGAAATTATGCACCAAGTGAGAATGTGAACCTCTCTGTCACGGGCCCCCCTTCCACCACTAGAGGGGCTGTTTCGTCATTTTTAACCGATCAGAGTTCTTGCATTTCAGTTACCGTCCATCAGTGTTGCCTGCTTATACACTGGGGTCAGCCAATCAGAGTTCTTGCATTTCAGTTATCTTTCATCAGTGTTGCCTGCTTATGCTCTGGGGTCTTCGTGTTTTTCTGACGCAGTTGGGCAGATGGTCACACGATGAGATGGTTGCCGTCCGATCTGCCAGACGTCTTGTGTCTTCTTGGGTGGCGAGCAGGCTGAGTGTCCGTACCCACATCCTCTGAATGTGGACAAATGCTGCGTCCTTCCCCGCAGCCCCGTGACACCTTACCTGGCGCCCCTCGTCCCAGGCCTCTCTCCTCACCCAGCCCTTTGCTGCAGATCCTGCTCTGGACAGTCAGCCCCCTCCCACCCAACCCAGCTGCAGGACTGAGGCTTCTGGAGAATTCCCCTAGGAGAGCCCCACCTGCCGCAGGGCACCAAAGACTGTTCCGGAGCTTCCGAGCTCCATCCTCCCAGGGCTGCTCCTCCCCCCACCCCCGCCTGCCAGCCACCACGACCTTGTCTGAGATTTAACCCCGGTGAGGCCAAGGTCACTAAGGGTATCTGCGAAGCTTCCTGGTCAAGGCTCTGTCCCTCCTCCAGCTCACACCCTCTCTCACCTGCTCTTGGTCTGAACCCCTCTGCCTCCTCTGGGCCTGACCCTGCAGCCCCCTTCCTCCCTGGGGGGCACAACCCCTGGCCTCTCCCTGTGGAGCCACTGGATGGTGCTGTTCTGGTTCAGTGCCACGTCAGTGCCGCCCAATGCCCTGAGCGGGGGCCTCTCGGGCTCCGTGGCCGGCACATTGCTACTGCAGGTGTGTGGGTGGGATGCTCCTGACCTGGCCCGTGGGCGGGACGCTCCTGACCCGGACCCTGGGGCCTCCCGGCCTCTCCCTGTCCTGAACCCGCCCTGTGCCTGCCGAGTGCCCCCATCCTCAGAGCGAGCCAGCATCTCCTCGGGGGACCCTACAGGACGTCCCCCCCAGCTCAGTGGTGGCCCTCGGGGTAGCGGGTGGGGTGGGGGGGTCTCCCCTGATGGATCGGGTTCAGAGGGCAGGGAGGGACCCATCTGCGTGTGGTCGTCGTTCAGTCTGCCTGTCAGCTCCCTGACTGATACTCGACGCTGGACCCAACACAGGCTCCGGGCGTTTGGGCAGTGTGAGTGGGGTGACCCCTGGTCCACACCTTGGCTGTGAGGAGCGGGAGAAAGGCAGGGCTGTGGTGGAGGATGCAAAAACCTCCTGGAAAGATTAATGCTTTTGTTTCGCCCCTGCGGGCGAGCTCCAGCGCGAGGTGGTGGCTGAGTCGTCGGCGGGGCCCTGCACGGCTCAGAGCTTCCTCCCCAGCGGCAGCTCCGCAGAAGGGGGGCGGCCGTCACCGCGGCGGCGCTGCCTGGGCTCGGCCCAGAGCCTGCCGGCGACCCAGCTAGCTGGGCGGAGGGCTCCTGGTCAGGGGGTGGGGGAGGGGGTGTCGGCTGGCGACCAGCCGGGGACGGACCGCAAACCAGACGAGAAGGATCCAGACCGCCAGCTGGAGGGTGAGGGTGTCCGTTCCTGCCAGCCTGCCCCCAGAGGGAGCGCTGGAGAGGGGCCTTGGGAAGGCAGGTGGGGGCGACTGCTTGGACTGGGCTCTGGTGCCAGGACTGCGTGCAGGTAGGAAGCTCCCTGGGCCAGTGGGGAGGCCGTGCTGGCGGAAGTGGGGTGGGCTGGCTGGGAGCCGAGTGGATCAGCAGGGGTGGGACCCTGGAGGCACCTGCCACCACCCCTCACCCCTCCGACTTGCCCCCCAAGAGGCTCTCCCCCGAAGAGCCCAGGTAGGAGAGCAGCTCAGGGCCCCCTTCCCCGCCTGCAGGAGTCTGCCACGTCTGCGTGCCCGGCCTGGAACCATCTCATGCAGGCGCCCGCCCGCCCGTGAAATGTGCCTTTGACTCCCTCAGCCGCTCTAAATACTGAGCGTCCTCTACCCCGTGTTTGCCCGCATCCTGCGTGTCTGGGGTGTCTGTCCCCACGAGCCTGCTCCACGCTGGGTCCGCAGGGGACCCGGGAGAGGCTGACGCAGGCCCCCACCCCGTCGCTGGCTGGCTGGCTGGCCCCCCGGAGCGTGGGAGCAGCCCTGCTGAAGGGCTGGCTCCCGGGGATGGAGTCTCTCTGCAGAGCGAGCTGGAAAGTGGGCTGGTGCATGGCCAGGGGACAGGGCTCTGAGCAGACCAACCAGCGTCTGATCCGGAGAGGAGGTGCCCAGGGAGGGGTGTCCCTGGCTCGGCGCCCCCATCACCACCTTCTCTCCTTGTTCTCACTAGTATTAGCAGGAACAGGTGGGAATGGGGGGAGGGCAGGCATTTCTTGCTCAGCCCCACACTCCTTAACCTTGGTCCTACCTGCCGCCTGCCGCCTGGCTGTCTCCATGGTAACAAGAAGCCCAAGGTCCCTTGGAACCACTAATTAACCCCATCATTCCTTTATTACTTCCTCTCTGCTTCCCTTCCTCCTACCCTCCCTCCTCTACCCACCATGCACCTTGCAGACCCTTCCTGAACACTCCCACCCTGGCCTGGGGGCTGGGCTCCCAGGGATGACCTTGGTAGGAGCTCCTCTGCCTGGAGGACCCCTGGGGGTGGGGGTGGGGTGGCCAGCTGAACGAACATTTCTCCATTTCAAGTGGACTGTCTCTGTGACTCCAGGGCTGGAGGATTTGTTCCCCCCCTCTTCTTTTCAGCACTTTCCTTTTCACCCTTGTAAGAAGCAGGACTTTCATCACAGAGAGAAAGCAAGCCCTGACTCTGAACAAATAAAAGCATTTCCTAAGGACAGAGGTGAAGTCAGCTTTTCTCTCTCTCTCTTTAAAATTTAATGAATGTGAAGTCAACTTCTCAAGGCCCCAGCTTCTCTCTCTCTCTTTTTAAAGTTTAATGAATGTGTTTATTTTAAAAACACGCTCAGAAGGAACACTTGTTTGTCATAAAATAAACCAAAAATCATCCATAATGAATGTCATCACCCAGAAAAACTACCGTTAGCATTTAAATGTCATCCTTGCTCATTGTATGCCCCCCACGTAGACACAGACACACTCAGATACACACAGACACACACACACACATAGACGCACACAGATACACCCACATAGAGACCCCCAGTGCAGGCACGTGCTGACTTGCCTGCAGTCTGACGCCACGCCCCTGCTCATCACCAGAAAGGAGCAGCATCTCCACTCCTCATCTTCAACCGTCCATCCGTCACCACGTTCCCGGGCATCTGGGTTGGGGAAGCCGTGCAAGGGCCCTGGGCTGACGTCCTCACTGCAGGACTTCTCAGAACCTTGAGAGCTGACGTGCCTAGAGGTGGAGTGTGTTTTCTGCCTGCTCCCACACTCTGCTGACCAGAATCCCCCTGTCGCCTGGGACCGTGTTATGCACGACGTGTGGATGCTGTTTCCCCATTCCAAACATCTTTATGGGATACCCCCTCTGCATGCAGCTCTGCTCTAGGGCCCGGGGACTTCAGAGGACAAGGCGACGCAGCTCCGGCCTGGAACAGTCACCCCAGATTGAGTGGGGGAGAGAGGAGGGCAGGGCCAGTGGGCCACGCCAGCCTCGACATGCTCCCCCGAGCCCCTGAGCCTGTACGAGCCTGTCCTGAGGCCGGGGGCATCAGCCGTGGGTCCAGGCTGTCAGGGCCTCTGGGGAGGGTCTTTGCTGACATGGCCAGGCTCTTCTTGCTGGGGTGAAATCTCCTTGGGCGGGCCTGGGGTGGCAGAGCCCTCTGTGTGGGTTCCTTCACCCCACCGCCACCCACCCCCGCTGCATGCTTCCTGCTAAAGGTTTTCGATTAGCTTCTCAGTAAATTTCATTTGGTCCGCGTGGTGTGTGATTACATCTTTTAAGATCTGGATCCGGTTCTGGTCATTCGCAAAGGAGAATAAATTAGCTTCAAATCCAGGGATGTGCCAGGAGCAGCCACAGGGAGCTGGCCATCCTGGGCTGCGGGGGTGGGCGG